TGTGATATGGAAAGTTGTAGTTAATATTATGCCTTATACCATAAGCTTGAGTAGATTTGAACTCTTCAAAATAATGATTATTTTTAAACAAAAATGTAATGCACTTAAATGTATGTATAATGCAGGAATTGTAAGTATATTTAAGGATTTAAAATGTATTCTACAAGACTGTATCCTGAAAGTATCTGTGCTTGACCTCCATAGCAGAATACCATATGTTGCTCTCGAGTAGAAGTTAGAAAAATAAAATGTTTTGGCCATGTTACTGTTACCATTTTTGGTGATGATCCTCAATCCATAGCAAGTTGTATGTAACTGCTTAGAAAGAAAGTCTAATTGGAATGAAAAATTTAATGATTCGTCGAGATAGATTCCAAGACATTTAGCATTCTGTGAAAACGATATTTGACGATTATTTAACATAATATTATCAGGAGTATCTGGCCCACGGTTAGTTTAAAAAAAACTGCACTGGTTTTATCAGGATTGAGGATTAGTCTCGAGTTTAGAAACCATTCTTCCACCGAAGAAAGCACAGAACTGTCCCTGGAAAATTTGATGCTTCAACAAATAGTGAGCTGTCGTCTGCATATTTGACCTTCTTTGATGATCGTATTAGGTCATTTATGTAAACTATAGAAATTAGGGGACGTAGGAGACTGCCCTGTGGGACTCCCCCTGGAGATATTCAACGCTTCTGACTGTATACACAAACTAGTACTATCTAGTTTTAATGTACATTTGTGTTTAGTCCTTTATGTCTAACTCCGTAATGTTGTAGTTTTTTTATATAAAATATTAAAATCAATACAGTCAAACGCTCAGGATAGATCCAGAAAAGTTCCACAAGAAACATTTCCGGCATCCAGAGAGTTATAAATTTTGGTAGTCAGTTCAAATAATGCAGTTTCTGTGCTCCTTCCAGCAAAGAAACCATCTTGATGTGGAACTAAACAATTTTTGTCTATAAAAAATAAGAATAGTTGCTCATATACTGTAAGTTCAAATATTTTGGAAAAGGAGCAAAGGATACTGATAGGTCTATAATTGTCTAACAAATCTGGATCCACTTTTTTATGTTTTATGTTTAAACCATTTATACAAATCTGATACTTCAGGCAATAAAAAAAAATAATTGAAATGTTGAAAAATAAACACTGAAGTGGTTTTCAGCTCTCCACTCTTATAAAAAATACTTAATCAGTGCCTTAAAAAACTGTATGACATTTCCAGTCGTCAGGTATCCGCCTCAGCTGTTTTCTTCCAATCCGAGGTAGACAAAGGACCTAATGCAAGGATGAGGTTTCTTTTCGGTGGTGGTTCAGTTGAAACAGAAGTAGTGGTTGTTTCTTAATATGGCCATGGGGCAAGTTGCCAAGATTACTAGCTCCGACTCGGGTACCCCAACACCTTATCTCAAATGCCCACGAAACAGGGCGATGAATTTTATCATCAGGAACTGGTGGAAACTACTTTATGCCTAATGCCAGTTGAGGTTACTTCATCAAAATTAGAACAAATGATCGAAATCGCTTATGATAGATATTACAAATGATCGAAATCACATATGTTTGAAAGTAATTATGATTAAATGATCGAAATGGTCTAGGATTGAAAGCATTACCTATATTACGAAATTAGTAAATTTAGTGTTTTTTTTAATTTTTCCTATTTTATGTATAATTTTTTGCGAAGCAACTCGCGATGGTTCCAGGTCGTACAGGTTAGATAAATTAATTTTTTTTTATTAGAATATCGTAAATTCATTTTTTTTTTATTAGAATATCGGGAAACTATTTCTATTTTCTTTAATGTATTTTACATTTAGATTCAACCATCTCAGTTCATGTCCGTTCCATTTTTTTAGTGTCAAGATTGTTATTTTTTAAACGATCAGTTTGAAAATATTTAATCAATTTTGTATATTGTTGTTGTGTGGCTTTTTAGATTTCAATAACAACTGAACTTAAATTTTCAACTATATAATAAACACTGAAATGTAAATTAGATAAATACATCTGAATAATAATAATACTCTCCCTAATTCACCCCCTTACGAGTGAATTTTAACCCCAAAAGCTGAGCTTGTGCGGGGAAAGGGACGGCTATTATTGTTATTATTTGCCGTGGCGCTCCGGGGCGACTTAGAGATGATTGATGGTGCCATTTGACTTACAGGTGAGGAAAACCTCATCCACCATCATCGAGACTGTAATGCATGGCGTTTTTATAATCTGCATGTCATATCAACAGAAATTGAATTTCTATTAATACGGCACACATCAAATCCTAAACCGAACCATGCAAGTTAATTAAAAATCCACATGGTCCGGTCTGGGATTCGAAGCCCAGCAGTCTCTGACTCGTAAACTTGCCTATAAATGAATATAAGCGCGTTAGACCGCCACACCACCGTCCCGATGAAGAAGTTGTACTTTGAAATATGTCATATTGAATCCTATATTAAATAAAATTGTTTATGAAAATCCACGTAGGTACTACAGTTTTGTTTTTCCTATATTAATTATGGATTTTCATCAAGTAAATGATGAAACCATCAAGATAATTAAATTTAGCAATAATTTGTTGCCTTATATATGTAAACAACTATCAATTTGAAACAACAATATTTTTAAATGTGAATCACTATTCATTATGTAGTAAAAAAAAGGTTTATCTATTAGTTATTCAAAACAAATTAAATGATCAAAGAATTTCGTACCCTAATAGAAATCACAGTAAATATTATTGAAACGTAATTAAAGGTATTTATTTGTTGATTCTGATATTTTTGTTTTCACTTATAACAAAGTGTTCAATTCACTCTTCGTACTTTTTTCCACAAAATGTTAAGATAAAATTGACTTTACGAAATATTACTCAGCACTATTCACTTGTGATTGTTGCGCTACTGACTGTTCCAAGTATATCAGGGACTTGTTGCTATCTCATCCTAGGTCCTAAGTACAATCACGCTACACGATCCTGCCGGCGTGATTAAAAACGGCACAGCTCTGCGATGTTGAGCGTTGTTAAATAATTGGTGGTATAACATACAGGGTATTTATTCCATTTAAAAATTGAGAAAATCGTAACCTCGCATTTTGACACACCCTAATAGCAAATGAATGAAGTCTTTTAAAACTGACGATGTGAAAACAAATATGTATAACTACCTGCAGGGTATTTTGCTTTAAAAATGTATAGGTTCGGTCAGTCCCTCGTTTATGGACCACCCTGTATACAGGGTGGCTCACGTTCAACGGGACGGAGCTTTATGGGAAAACGACCAAAGATATAAAAAATTCGTTTGGGAGGAATACGTAGGTTACAGACGGCTACAATTTAAAATTTGTTAGATGTATACAGGATGTCCCACATAAGAGAAAATATACAAAATTATATTATTTTTAATGGAACACCCTGTTTTTTATTTTAGAATTAAAAACTAAAATCAAAAATAATGTCAGTTAACTAAAGGTTCCCTATTACTATTATTATTAGTTTTCGATTTATTTGTTTGTGTGTCTCTAATACAAATTGAAATATTAAATAATTACGCATTAATGGGACACCCTGTAGATATATGTGTAGAATACAATGATACCTAGGTTATAATGATTCCCATTATTTAGAGCAGTGGTCGCCAACCTCTCAATGTGTTGAGCTACTTTGTTAATTTTGGAATAAACAGCGAGCTACCCACACGGAAGCCACGTAACGCAACGTAAATGAAATAATCCACAGTTAATTTATCATTATATGTATTTATTTTACTATTTAACTGGTAATACATAGGTACTAATAATAAACTAATAACAAAATAACTAATATTACTAGTACGTACTTGTTCATAGCTACATTCCTAAACACAAACTTTTATCCAGCCACAACGGCATGTCACGTAAGATTTAAAAATAGTTAATAATAACAACAAACAAGTAACGCATTATCATGAACATAAACATTGAAAAATAAAAAAGCACGTTCAATGAGAAGGCTGACACTCAGACTAATCGATAATTTTTTTAATGTTTGCAGTATAATTTGATACAGCCATTCGAATACAATTATCCAAATGTTCATCTGTAAGTCGATTGCGATATTTGTTCTTAATAAACTTCATATTGGAAAAAGAAGATTCACATAAATAGGTTGAACTGAATAATGCTTTCACTTTCAAGGCAACACGGCATAGAACTGAATATTTGTCTTTACTTACAATAGGCCAGATACATTTGGTACTTGAGACTAACGATTTTAAGGCTAAATCATTTTGAAACTCAATTACTTCCATTTCTGTTGCAGCGATGTCTTCGCCAAAGTTCTGCATAACAAAAGTTGCAAACTGTTGGATATCAATTTCCATAAAGGGTGAAACAAACTGCGCTACTAAAGCCATTTCGTTGAAATCCTTAAAACGATTTTTGAAGTTATTCTTCAGGGTAGAAACTATTTCTACATGATATTTGCTGTCATAGGGTTCTAATGGATTTTGAGATATTTTTCTGAAAGAATAGGAAAATGCTTGGCATCGCTGTTAATTAGGTTTCGTTCCCAAAACTCCAGCTTTTTGATAAATGCTTTTATATCGGAAATCATTTCAGCTAGTTCTTTGTCTCTCCCCTGAAGCTGCAAATTAAGTTCGTTTAATTTCTCTGTAATGTCCACGAGAAAACCAAAATCTCTAAGCCAGATTGAATTTTCTAGTTCCGGAGTCGGTTCATCGCGTTGTTTGAAAAATTGAACTATGCCAGATAGGACATCATTAAAACGTTTCAGCACCCGTCCTCTACTTAACCATCGGAATTCAGAGTGAAGGAGTAGGTCCCCGTATTGACAGTCAACTTCATCGGCCAAGGTTTTGAATAATCTTCTTTGTAACGCTTATTTCATATTTGTCCCGCTTTGTATAGACTTAGAAATGTGACCCTCTTTCTTAAATCTGTATATAACAAAATAGCCAGTTAAATATTTTTAAATAAATACTCTATTTTTAGATACTATACCATTAAGAACTGAACAAATTACCAGATTGAAAGATGAAGTTCAACAATTGAAGCTTGAAAATGATAAACTACGTGAAAGGCGCGAGGAACTTGAAATAAAGTTAGAAGCTTACCTCGAAGGCGAGGATACATTACTTGGTGGAAAAATTCTTCACCAAGCTGTCAACCCATTAGCTGAAAGTCTGGAGCAGAGAGGAAAGTTGGTAGAAAAATTACAACAAGACATAGAAAGGCTAAAGAGAAAGATTAAAAATTACGAAGACGGCATAGAAAATAGCAAATTGGGAGATATAACCATGAACTTTAAAGAAGTTAATTTATTAAAAGAAAAACTGAAATCGCAAGAAGCACAGGCACAGATGATGAAAGATCATTTTAAATCGCAGGTGGATGATTTCAGGAATGATATAAATGAACTTTTAGGTTACAAAATAGATCGGACTCAAGGGTCCTTGTATATGTTAAGAAGCATTTATGCTGAACGACCCGATGATGCATTGTGCTTCCAGGTCGATAGTAATGGATCCTTGAACCTCATGAAGAATGCATTTAGTGAAACTTTAGAAAGCTTGATTGATTTACACTTAATGCATCAAAAATCAATTCCTGTATTCCTTAGTGCTCTTACTATGGATTTATTTAACAATAAGAGCGTCACGATTACAGAATAGAATAAGATTAAAATGAAATAATTGAAAATGTCTGCTTAATCTATAATTTTTAAGTATTACTCTTAATAAAATAAATACAATTCTTTTTTTTATTTTATTTTTTATTACTTATACAATGGTTGTGAAACACTGTATAAGAATAGTATTATAGGTGTAATTCAGTGTTTCATAATATATGTCGATTGAAGTTATAGAACCAAAAAACGAACATAATGGAATTGGATGCGACAAGTATTTATGGATACTAGCTTACAGGTACAAGTTATGGTAAGATGGTCTTATATTATAAATTAATTAGGTTTTAATCTTAAAAGTGAAAAATAATCCTTTGTAATCCTCTCTAAAAGCTCTGTACAAAACGTTAACATAAATTCCCGAGGCATTTCGTAACGTGTTACATACAATATTTCTTTTTAATTTTGACTAGATTTTGAGTAGATTATACAATTGTGTTCTGATAAAAATTACTAATATCTATTTAACCAATATGACTTCCTTATGTATGCATAACTTCATAACATTCATTTTATTGACAAATAGAAAATCATATAAATTATTCTCAACGACTTATTGCTTGTTAAAGTTATTTATTTTTAAAGAAAGTGGGTTATTTTATTGTGTATTGTCTTGTGATTATTTTGTGCTGATTTAAAATGGAAAATAAGGACTTAAACAATATTATTACTAGGTTGTAAGTTCACTAACCAAATTCTATTTTTCTATATTCAACCTTGCATTCTTTGATATAAACTTTCAATAACAATGTATAGAGGGCGTTTCATAATATATGCGCAGGACTTCAGGACGTGATAGCTCGTCCAAAAATATGAAAAAACGTTTCTATTAACTTACCCTCTAAAATGCACCATTTTCGAGATACAGGGTGTTGAAATTGAAAAAAAAATTCTACGCCACTGGAAAAAGTACGGTTTTGAGACGCCGATTTGAACCGCCAATGTTTTCTACACAAAAAAGGTACTCTTGGTCATACGCTCTAAAATCGACCGTTTTCGAGAAAAATCAAATTTTAATGTTTAAATACATGGTCAATTTTTGGAAATAAAACAAAATTTGATTTTTCTCGAAAACGGTCGACTTTAGAGCGTATGACCAAGAGTACCTTTTTTGTGTAGAACACATTGGCGGTTCAAATGGGCCTATCAAAACCGTACTTTTTCCAGTGGCGTAGAATTTTTTTTTCAATTTCAACACCCTGTATCTCGAAAATGGTGCATTTTAGAGGGTAAGTTAATAGAAACGTTTTTTCATATTTTTTGACGAGCTATCACGTCCTAAGTCCTGCGCATATATTATGAAACACCCTGTATATTGATTTTAAAACAAAAAAAAATGTTTATTTTTATTTGTTTTCTTCTCGCAACCTATGATATAATAAATTTTCGTATCCAGTTTCATAATATTCAACTTTATGCAACTGGTTTTGGAGCACTGGTTTTGGAGCACTACCTTTGGTTTACCCTTTGGGATCTTACTTATACGGTATATGAATTTTTTTTATGAGGAATGGATCTTTCCAAGACCTTTGAAACTTCACCGGCTATGTCATTTCCAGGTTGGCATCCAAACTCGAGGTAGCACGGTAGTCTCATCTCACGCCCAAATAGGGCTTTGCTAGTGTTTGGCCTGTTGATTTATTGACAGTGGATCTATAGGCCATTGCAAAGAGTGAAAGATACTGATTCCAATCTTGCTGTAGGTTGGAAACCACTTTTGACAGGTATTTGCCAATGGTCTTATTGATTCTCTTTACCATTCCATCCGACTATGGGTGCGATGCCGTAGTTCTGGTTTTCTTCATGCCTAATCTGTCACAGATTCCTCGGAAAATCTGGCTTTCAAAATTTCTGCCTTGGTCACTGTGGATCTGCAAGGGCACTCCAAATCGACTGATAAACTCTAATCAACACATCTGCAACAGTTGCGGCCTCTTGATTTGGAATGCCGTAGACTTCTATCCACTTCGTGAAATAATCCATAATCAATACCATTCTCGGTCATGGGGAATGGTCCAGCAATATATAAGGCAATCCTCTCAAATGGGCTACCGACGTTGTCCTGCTTCATGGGGGTCTTCCTTTTTTGTTATGGTCCATTACTCATAGCACAGGTGGTACATTTCTTACACCAGTCCTTTACATCATCGAAACTGTGCATCCAATAAAACCTTTCACAAACTAAAGGGGTTTCTTAACACCGAGATGTCCTCATAATGTAACTGCTTCGACTACTCTAGTCTTTGGAATGACCAACTATCTTCTGTTTTCGGAATCATCATCACTTTCAAGTACTCGCTTTAATAAGCCTTCTTACCCCGGGGGTTAAGCGTCTACCGGGCGGGTCTCCAGATGGTGGATAGGAGGACGGCCAGCATCTCTGACTAGTGGCAGATATAAGTAGGGTGAGGGGACGTAAAAACCTCCAAAATCCTTTGCGAAAACTGCCGCCGCGAACCAACTCACTTTCGTCGGAGGTCGAGGCGGGATAATCTATCCTATCTTAACTTCACGGGTCCTCGCTTTCGCCGCAGTGGAGGGGCTTGCAGTTTAAAAATATGACCCTACAGCTAAAGGCATTTATTTGCCATGCCTTTGGAAAACTAACCAAGAAGGACGAACACCAGGCCTAATCTGTGTCAGTAAACCGTGACGATGGATGTGTAGCAGCTGTGCCAGCTTCGAAAGAGCTGTTTCAACCGGTACCTCCGGAATACCGGCAGCCCTCCCGTGTAAATAGGTTTGCCAGTCTAAAGCGGCGGACGAGTTGAACGTACCCTTCCCCAGCTACTCGTGGGAACAACTATGGACCTAATTATAGAAGAAGAAGAAGAAACTTTTTCACGAACTTCTACTGCTGAACAGGCAAATGTGCCACCAGCAGTAGTCGAACAAGGGCAATCTCAGGCAAAAGTGCCAGAGATAGCAAAACAGGCCACGGAAGTTATTCAGGCAGAAGTGCCTAACATTCACAAGGCCCAACAAATCCAGAAGGGTCACCTCCAAAGAGGAGTTGGTCTAATGATAAACACAAGTCAGTTTCTTTGTCATCTACAGCCTAACAAGAACAAGGCTAAACAACTTGGTAACATTTGGCCAAGACTTTATAACTGCCAAAAGAGGCATAATTAAAGAAAACTTCGATATTAGCGACAATAACAGTATAAGCGAACTTTTCTGTACCAATTCCTAAATTGAAACTGGATTTTCCCATGGATTTTGGCACTTTCTCTTGTGGCAGTCCACAGTCGCAATCTTGTTGGTAGAAGTCTCTTACGGTTATTTATGGTTGTTGGTCGTATAATGGTCCTAGATGCTCCAGTATCCACGAACAGTGTACTTTCTATCATTTACTTCGCCATCTACATGTACACTATCATCAGGGCATTTCAAAGAGGCCACAGTATGAGAGGGTCTTCGGAACGGTTTCGGGTCGAAACTGCCCCCTCTAGGCCGACCCGCTCTAATTTACCTGTGCCGTATTGTCTTCATTTGTTGTGTCCCTAGGGCGTTTGCAAGATCTGAGTACATGTTCCAGTTCACCACAATTGCAGCACCTGGTGGTCTTGGTCTTCATCTTTTTATCAGTAAAGCTCTTCATTATGTTAACCAGTTGGTCGAGTTTATCTTCCACGTGTTCTTTTCTTATGCAGTCCTCACTTTACTGTATCCTCCAGAAGCCTGCGTAGCTGTCTCGTACTCTACAGCAGCGGACAAGATATCGACCAATGTTTTGTGACGGGCTAAGCGGAGTGTTTATTGCATTTTGTGGTCACTGACTCCATAAACAAGTGTTTGAACTGTCAAACATTACATTATGTTTTCCGGAGCTGATGGGTAGGCAAATCGCATTAACCTGGCAAGATCTACTTCATATTCTTGAAGGGCCTCGACACGTTTCTGTCTGCGATTCTTTAACTGTGATTGGTATAAATACTCAAAGTGTTTGTGGCCATATCGCATTTTTAGTCTTTTTAAGTTGTTCAAAATCATTTGTCTCTTCCACAGGTATAGTCTGAAGGACATCTAAAGCGTCTCCTCGAAGGGCGATGGTCAAATTTACTGCTTTTTCTTTTTCAGACCATTCGTTTGCTCTGGCAGCTGTTTCCAACTGTTTAAGGTAGTTGGTCTATGACATCTTCTCGTCGAAAAGATCGGGCTTTAACAAGGGTTCCTTTCAATTTCAGCTTTGACTCGTGGCACGTTATTTCACCGTCCTCTCTATTTCTTCTTTCCCATCTCTTTTATTTTCTCCTCAACGGAAGACATTTTCTCCTCAACTGAGGATATCTTATTTTCCACATCAGCAGAAATTTCATTTTTTATAGAAGAAATTTCAGAAGACACATGTTCTATGGAAGAAATTTCAGAAGAAACTTTACTTTCTAACGAGGAAACATTACCCAAGGAAGATATTCATGAAGAAACTTTTGTGTCTAAGGAGGACATATTTTTTATAGAAGAAACATCAGAAGAAATTTCTGTTTTTAAATAAGATATATCAGACAAAACTTTGGTTTCCATATAATAAATATCAGAAGAAACTTTATTTTCTAAGGGTAAGATCGTACTTTCCAAATCGGAAAAAATTGAAGAAATTATAGAAGACATCCGAAAAAAAGATAAGTCTCCGGATCCAAACCCTCTCGTTTTATTGCTTTTTTCAGACGGTCTGCCAAGCTCTGCATTCTGGGCTGTCGTCTCTAGTCCACTTTCTACTAACTCTCGACGTAACTTGGTCACTTTTAAATCACACACTTTTTTGGCCATTTTTATCCACTATTTACAAAATCCCAACTTCTAACACCAATGTAACGATTATTTATCTTAAAATAGTTAATTGCACTATTTTACAGTTATAATTTAACAATTAACCTTTTTTGACAACATTTATTTTAAAACTGAGCTTAAACGGCAAAAGATTCCATTTATATACAAACATGTAACAGCAAAAAAAATCAATCTCTGACTAGAATGCTCGAGGCTAGCCTAGGATTTCTCGAAATCCTTCACGCGTCGGACTGCATACAGACAAAACATTCTAGTCGATTTTTGGATCACCAGCGGGTCAGCGTCAGATGTAACGGCAGCGGTGAAGGTCAAAGAACAGTCTGTCTCGGGTACGGTCGCACGACAATATATAATAATCTCCCTAATTCACCCAACACATATATATTATGATATATACAACTGTATATAAATATGATGATTAAATAAAATTTTGAAAAAGTCAATTGATTATTTTTCTAAAATAATTCAAATTAATTTAGTTATAAAACAATAACTGGCCTGCTACCCATCATTGCATGAATGTTTAAAATTCGTAAAACATTTGTTGTGTCAGTTTTTTATATTTCCGAGAGATGTGAACAGGTAAGTACATGTATTTATTTTTATTCAATGATCTGGGTCATAAAATACGAACACACCTGTACATTTTGATTACTTTATATTATATTAATGCAATCTCCGAGCAATTACTAATTCAAAATGGTTTCACGAAGTGTCTATTCCATAGAATACTTGATTGTCATTATTAAATTATAGGATATCGACTTTTTCATGTTAAGCCTTGGTTTCTTTGAACACTCTGTCGCGGTGAGCGGACAGTCCGTCGACAGTGGCGTTTTGACGATTTTATCCAACCAAAGTACCTATTTAAATGGGAATAGTTTTCTTGAATCCGCTTAGCTGAGCAGGACAGCGTCATGCCGCTGATTTGTCGGTTCATATCTGTTGTGTTTGATATCAGCGGAATCGTCGTCGTGTGGGGACAGTTTGTGAATACAAATAATTGTATTATTATTTTTAAAACAATGAGAGACAAATACAGATAACTTTATTTGTAGGTTTCTTGGAAATGTCGTCCTTTATAAAACACAACACGAATTCAAAAAGATCTGTAGAAAGTATAAAATACTTCCTAAATTTGGTTTCATTTCTAAAAAGTCTCCGATGCACAGTGATATTAAAGGCACCTTCTGTATCGCGACACAAAAACAACTTCCACTGGCATATTGGAAACTTGTGACGGTTGCAATTGCCAGTTCCTCTTGTTCTTCCTCTTCCAACAATAATAACAACGCAAACAATTTATTTGCGTCCATTTCAGTACCTTTCGTTTACATTCATAATACATAAACAGTACGTACCTACAGACATAGAGAAGGTCTCATTTTCTATATATTATTTAACAAACCACCTCGGGCGAAAATCGCTGTCCTCAGCGGTCGACGGACTGTCCACTCACCGCGACGGAGTGTTCAAAGAAACCAAGGCTTTAAGTAGCTGCATTCTTATTTTATACATACATTAATTTTATAATAATTCAAAAATGGACCAACATATCTTTGTAACGAATCTGTTAATATTATTTAACAGATATTTTAAAGTTTATATTCAATACCCTTTAAAAGAATATACTGATATGGAAACACCCAGTATATGGATTTCTAAAAATATTCTAAAACTTTTATAATAATTCAAAAATGGACCAACATATCTTTGTAACGAATCTGTTAATATTATTTAACAGATATTTTAAAGTTTATATTCAATACCCTTTAAAAGAATATACTGATATGGAAACACCCAGTATATGGATTTCTAAAAATATTCTAAAACTGGGCGGGTTCAAAATCTAGAAAAATTATAAATTTTGTATAAAAATAAATAAAAATCAATTAAATTACAAAAAATCTTCTATTTCTCTGCCCTGGCTGTTCTGCCCCTGCTGTTGTATTCGTCCTGCTAATGCTGTTGCTTTTGTCCTGTCGCTGCTTGGTGTCCTTTGTCTCTGTGTCTCTACCTGTATGCTATATCTTTGCCTGTGTGCTTTTTTCTTTAAATGTCTGCTTATCTGTTACCCTTACCGAATCCTTTTCTTTTGATTCAGGAGTTTTAAATAAAATTTTCTTTTCTTTTTACCTTTTGTATTATTCTTTATTATAATCTTCCAATCATTAACAATACTTCATTACTCTAATATAGTATTCATTTTCCCCCTTGACATTTCTTAAAAAAATTCATGACAATCCTCTAAATTTTATGACAATCTCTCCTATTCAAAATCACTGATCTGTATTATTTTACTGGATAGGATATAGCCCTCTAAAAAACGTTCCAAAAAATTGGTCGATTTGGGCAAATAATATGGCGGACCGGATGTTATTTAACATAACCTCTATTTCCAGTTGTCATCACATTTGTCATTTAATTGTGTCAACAAGTTACGATGAGATGTATTTTTTATTTATTTAGGTAGTATCGAATAGCATTACTATTTTCGTGAAGACACAATATGCTTCACGTTTCCATTTTTATATTTTCTTTCATAAAAAAATCAAATTAGGGGTGAATTGTCCCAAAGGACATTGCCCGCAAAAGAAATAGAAGAAGAATAAGAAGAAAATCTAATCAAATTATAGGTTAGGTATGTCAAATTATCGCAAAATTCAGTTATGTGATCCCACCATAATTTGCCCAAATCGGCCAGCAGTGTTGCACTTCCGGTCTCCTTGGTGGAACGGATTTTTAGTATTTTAAATATAGCCTATATCCTATCCAGTAAAATAATATAGATCAGTGTTCAAAATCCAAAAATAACAACAACCTTGATAATTTCACAATAAAATTGTTCTAGACTCTAAACCGTCCAGCTTTGCTAACTTCAATTTTGACATTTTAATTTTAAATTTCGTTATCTGGGAATTTCCCTTATCAATACCTATACATTTTTCTATAAAATAAACAATGTTTCTTCAGCACAAAATTCATATTAAAATTTACACCTAAAATATAAAAAAGATAGATATCACTTTCCTTGAATAATATACTATCAAGCCTTTTGTTATATAGTCTTAAAATCACTTTTTCTAAGCATATGTCAAACGGCTTGCGTGAGAAAATGGTGGCAATTTGCAAACATTTTTCCAGCAACTTTCCTATGTTCTGAAAATTTGAAGACCACGCTCTACATTCAAGCCATTATTTTTTTATAGGCAACTCCAAAATGGACTTATCCATTCGCGCCACTCAAGCCAATATGTTTTTCGGGCTAGTGACGATGTATGTTTTCATACTTTCGACGGGCTACTGTGGAAAAATCGGTTAAAATGTCGATTTTTCTTTACAAGATTACACCCTTATTTCAACAGTCAAGCCTTTGGTTTTCCGAAGTCAATTTCTTTGAATTAATCATTCAGTGGTCACGGCTTGCGTGGAAATATGAGCAAAAAAACACCTTTTATTTCTATTAAGGAAAATCGAATTTTGCATATGTTATCCCCAGAGGTCACTCGTAAATTTTCTTTCATTCTACTTAACATCGATGTACTTTCAACCCTCTTCGAGGCTTGTATGCGAAAATGGGACACCTAAATCAGTCACTATCTGACGGTCTAAGATGGCGGAAAGGTTCTTGAATCTTTTTTTTGTTCGACGATAATTAAAGTATTGTTAACATTCAAATACATAATTCGTACGTTATTTGAATCCTGCTTACTTTCTGCCTGTAAAATACTTCTATTATGACTATTTTCCCTTCTTTTACACCGATCGACTACTTAGGAAGTATCTGTTACTGTTTACCAACCCAATATCTTATAGAATGCTCGCGGCAGCTGCATGATCAGATACTCCGTTGCAATGCCGTAATTTTAAGTTTGATTCCCATTTTCCTCCATAAAAGGAAAAAGAAAGCAAAGCGTCCAGGAATAGTTTATTCCGAAAACACCGAAGGATATGTTTTTGCATTTTTAGGGATGTTTCGACTCTCAATCACTCTAGAACCTCACGTATCTTGTTCTCGCCGCAAAATTATGCCTAGAAAAATAGGTTTCGTATCTGTTTTGACGACTGTTTATATTGTGGTGGAAAAGAATAGATAAAGATAAAAAAAAATGCTTTTGGAGAAAATATTTGGAAACATTAAAGCAAAATAAGGAATGTTACCAAGTTAAAACTTTTATTTTCTGTGCCGTTATCGCCTCTTCAGCCAAGGAGAAGCCTTCGTTTTTCTATACATATAAAAAACACTATGTATGAAAAAAAAAAAACACATAAAGAAAAACGAAATATTAAACAGGTAAAATAAAATATATTGAGAGATATTGCAAATTTCTATAACGCCAGCCACTAATAGTGACAACACAATTGGAGTCAAATAAATTACATGCTAAAATCAGACTTATTACAAACATGAAGTTTTGACATTAGAATCCTTGTCCTTATACCTACTTATTCCTAACCTCATTTTAAAAACTTTAAATTATAGTTCATTTTTGTTATTGTCTATAATAGTACATAATACAGAAGAGGTATAATAAATGGCCTTTTTAGGCGATTTAGAGGATTTTAATATTAAATATATAATAGAAAATTTCGAACTGATACGAATGTTGGCGAGTGCACCCGAAAGCTATAAAGTCGCCACTATTTGCTGCCGTTGAACATCCATAATTAAGGACTGGCACTATCTTTAATAAAGTCTAAAACGATTTGCGCATGCTCAGATGTCAAAATAATGGCGGCGCTAATAGTGACTAACCTTAAGTGAACTTGCAATATCACTCTATTAACAATAACAATAATTCTTATTTATCCAATTTAACAGCTCGCATTGCATAAGTGATTGAAGGATTGAACCACCAGTGCCAAGTGTTGGTTAGAAAGTTATACATTGTACCATGGACAACTTCTGTTCTGCAATTATCTAAAAATAAAAAGTCAAAAGGTTATAAGCCGAGTGCTAAGAATTATAGACCCATCAGTCTTATACCAGTTATTTTCAAAGTCATCAACTCAATATATTGGATAAGGGAAAAATATATTGCTGCCTTAAATCGTATCTCCCTTCTAAATTGAAAATAACGAAACCACAAAAACATTTCACAGGTAACTCAAATGATATAATCAGCCTCACTGATGATTAATTTTTGTGATAAACTCTGCTGATATAGCTAGCCAGCTGTCGTATTTTGATTTAAATTTAATTATTTAAGAGGTGTCTCTCAGACCTCCTTACTAAGTCTCTCATTCTAAATATTAATAATTGTAATATGTTTTTGAATAGAGAAGATAGTTGGTACCAAAGTTCTTTGAACTAATTTAATAGTATCCATATAAATTAAAAAAACTTACATTCTTCTAATATGCGTTGTAATTCATGTGGAGTTGCAAATTTCTCATATTGATGTGTTCCCTTGGGTATCGCATTTATAACATTCTCTGCTAAGGATATTGTTGCCAAATTTGCTTGCCACGTTTTATTGATAGTAGTTAAAAATATTGAACCCTTTGGTTTCAGACACTGTACACATGCCTTAAGAAATTCTTGTTTATTTGTTACATGTTCTATTACTTCTGAGGCTATAACTGCATCATATTTTTCAAAGTTATCCTGGACATGATCTTCTACTGATGATGCTACATAATTAACATTGACTTTGTGAAGATTCGCATGTACTTTGGCTGAATTTATAAGGTCTACATTAGCATCTAGACCGGTTACATTGGCTCCTACCTTTGCCAAAGGTTCACTTAGAATACCTCCTATAAATAAAGTTTTTTTAAATAACCAAATTGTACATATATAAAATAATGCCAGAAAATCTTTTTACAATTTCTTGCCTACCTCCACAACCTACGTCTAATATTGTATATCCTTTTAATGGTAATGATGGATCTTCCATTTTATTACATGTTACAAGAGATTCTCTAATCCAAGGTAATCGTATTTTATTCATAGCATGAAGAGGTTTCAATTCTCCAAATTCATCCCACCACTGATCAACAAATTTTTTAAAATGTAACATCTCTTTATTATCAATTGTTGATGAATGAAGCCTATAAAATTAGTGTTTATTTAATTGAAACAAACATTAGATTAATCCTTATAAAGAAAATTTTGGCCATCCTAATTTCAATATATAAAGAGATCTTTAGTATGTGGTACAGAGGTTTTACCTTCGAAATCTTTTAAACAGTTCTGGTACGCGAAGTAACGAGTCGAGAATAACAAAAGAACCGTTTCCAAAGTACTCAATGATACAGGCAGATAAAACAGATACAGTAGAACCTTTTCCTCTGAAGAAATTATTAGTTGGAAGATTGAAAACGGATAAGGCACCAGATCCCGATAAAATCACAAAGACGTTATTATCACTGAAAAAATGACTCAGGCATACCATCATCAGAACTGTCGTCCTTCTATGAATATTTTATCTGTATAGCATGCAGAACAAAGTTAAGGATCCTATTAGTAATAGAAGTGATATAACCTAAAATGCCTTCACAACTATGACTCCTCAAGTGGATCACATATATTTAATACAGTTCATTACTTTTGTCGAATAAGATATTTAGATTTTATAAGCTGAAAATCTATATTTTGTAGGAATTTGTCACAGTGTAAAAAATAAACTGTAATTTCCAAAATTTACTTTAAGATGGACTCGTATATGACAGAGGGAAATCTGCAGGGCTCTGTCCTTGAACACACAATGTGGAATGTTTTATGATAGAATTCTTTGAATAAATCTGCCAGAAGACTACCACACTGTGGCGTATGCAGACGACCTATCTTTTCTTCATAAAGCAAAAGACAAAAACAATAAATAACGCAGGCACTTGAGAATATACATGAATTGATGAAAGGCACCAGCAAAAATAGCTGCGGGGTGGCCGCCCATACAGCACACATTATTTCAGAAGCGTTTCAGAAATATTTCAAACATATAACATTTCAAGCACAAGTTTCTGAAATAATTTAGTTAAATATTTCACTAAAAATGTTTCTGAAACATGGTATACATGTTACACAAAAGGTTACCAAACGAGTTATGTTGTAAAAAGCCAACACTTAATGCAGAATTTCTGATTTGTAAGAAGAAGATGGGATATGTAGTTATTTTATTTCATCCTATGTCCAGCCAGAGACAACCCTATATTTTAAATAATTATAGATTTGAGTTGTCGATTTTTGCCATTTCCTTTTTTTTTGTTATTATTTTAATGGGTGTGAAGTTATCCACATCCACAAATGTACACTGAAAAAAATACAGCTCCATTGTAATAGTCATATAACTTGGTTCAAATGTCACCATGCTTTTCATTTGCAGATTACAATTAGGGAGGTTTCAATACATAACAACCATACCCGCAATTAACTTTTGCTCCGTCTGAGGGGGTGCAATTGGGGGAGAAATTTAAAAAAAAATCATAGAAGCCACAAATGGCATTGTACACCTTTCAGCTTGGGATATGTTATGTAGTTTGCTATTTTCTTCATCCCTGATACCATGCTGGAGTTTGTCGAGTCGTCTGAGGGGGTGAAATTAAAAAAAAATCATAGAAGCTACAAATGGCTTTGTACACCTTTCTACTGAAATGTGCGTGCTACATGAGCGAGAAAGAATATCGCGGTAATACATATAGGGCAGTCTCCAAAAAGGCAGTGTGTCTCTTAGTTGCAGCTCAAAGATATGACAAGAGAGAAAGAAAACAGTCGTCATTGAACATGAAAAATGGCTACTTTCCTGGAAATGAAACTGTAAATAAATAACAAGGTCCACTGAATCTAAGTGTAGAGAGGAAAGTAGCGAGAACGAGATATTTGTTGAAAAAGTGACCCCTCCAATGTCTATTTTTGCGAATGCACATCTATTTATCGCTGGTCGTATTGAACTAGCCGGAACTGTAGAGGGAACTAAATAGGGTCTCTTGGATACCTTTTGGATGTATAATCTTTTAGGAGATGGTCATGAAACCATAGAAATTGCGTTTAAACGTCTAAGAAGTGGAGTGAATGGGTACGATAGTTGGACATCCTCAAATGGTGGTACAATAAGCCTTGAAGACAGCAGTGCCGCCACGCCTAAGCCCAAGGTGATAGTAGGTCTGGAAGGTAAAAAAAATTAACTCTGCAACTTACCGTACATTTTTAATGTTCTTTATTAAAGTTTTTCCAGCCATACTTAAAATTTATCTGTAAAAAAGATCAAGGTACAAGTTTTTATTATTACAAGTAAAAGCGAGTACAGATGTCGCGAGGCATGTGGCTAGACAGCTAGCAATGCTTTGCACTGTGAGGACTGTCTTATCCAGAAAAAAAGTTTTTCCATAGAGGAAGGATGTCCTACTGAAAAGAAAGGGTGCGCCTTGAAGATATTTCGTCATTCTGAACATGCGACGTTTAAATTGTATTTATTCGCAAGTCCGAGACATGACTCGCAAGGTCTGTTCTCACCTTAAGAGCAACACTTCTTTATTTTAACGAGTCTTCAACAATACCTATATCCCAAGTGATCTGATAAAACAAGAAATTTAACGAAATGGCTGTTCTTCATAACTTTGACATCAATTTAGTCACCTGGGATACAGGTACTGTTGAAGATTCTGTAGATGTAGCTAATTCAATAAAAATGGTATGACTAAAAAAGGTAAAGTTAATTTATGAGAAATTTTAAGAATGCACATTTGATTTTTGAGCATTTCTGCGTTACAAAGAATATATGCATGCAAAATTTGCCGATGAACAATAATTATTGACAAATAATTTTTTTTTTATTTTTTTTAAGTATCTTAATATTCCTATTCATCTTACATATTTAGTGTGTAAATCCCCACACATACCATACAAATTTTACTGGCTGAAGGACCTATGTCGATAGCCATTTGGTTGTAAAATTTATAACTAATAAAGTGCTTTTATTATTAAGCATGCAAGTCATTCACAAATAAGTTAAAATAATAATTGAACAAAGACAATTATTTTTTAGTACTTCTCATTTTTCCAATTACAATAAGTACAGACTGCATGCGTGGGACCTGTGTGGCAGGTTTCATTCCAAAATAGAGCATCGCCAATTTTGCTATTTTCAAATTTATATTTGGAGCAAGTTCAGAATTAAGTGAGAAATATGATTTAGGGAAATCATGATAACCTAAATCACGCTTCTATACAATACTGATATTTGCCTATAGTATTCCCTCTTATGGTAGGTAGTATTCACACTAAAAAGCAAATTCATGTAATTGATCTTACTTCCTCTTAAAATTAGTTGTTTAAAACAATGACGTAGCCAAGTCAACAGTTGTTGTAGTTAGGGTGAGGATAAGAGAGAGAATAAAATTACCAGATTCAAAAGTATGAGTAATATGAAATAGTCAACTAAAACTAACAGGAAAGGTGTATTGTGCCTGCTTTCGAAGTTCATTACATCACTATAAATATGCCTGAGTATTGCAGATGTTATAGAGGATAAAACCTCCAGTCCTGTTTGCTTATGTTGGAGTGAATAGTAAATGAAGATCGCAAGTGCACGAGCAGACATGATGTTGTCATTTACAGTTCGGTAGCATGTTACCTGTAACTAGCAACATTGATACTATATAGTTTAATTTCCTGAATGTCAGCGCTATTTGTTGTTCACTTTATCACGGACAAGGTAGGTCCAAAGGTTTGATCTTGCCAACACTGTATATTCCTCAGCGTTGACGGTAACTCTATCGACCATAAGACAAACACTGAACTTCAAAAGTTGGTTTCTACTTTCTACTACTGACAATTGTATATATAATATACCAACAAAGATATATATTGTTTGATTACAAAATACAAAACATTAGTACCAACCGTCTTGTTAATTTCAAAGATCTAGGGGTCAATTTTGATTCAAAATTTTCATTCAACAAACATATTGCTGATATATCTGCTGGGGCGTCAAAAATGTTAGGCTTTATTTACCGTTCTTGCAAAAATTTCAAAAATATTGATACCATCAAACTATTGTATTACAGCTATGTTAGATCAAAACTGGAATATTGTTCGATAATTTGGAATCCTTTTTATGCAGTTCAAATCCAGCAACTCGAAAATAAACAACGGAAATTTGCAAAATATCTTATGTTAAAAAATGATGGGCTTTATCCTCCCCGTGGATACAATAACTCGCAGTTATTGAGTAAATTTGATTTACCAACGCTATTAGAGAGAAGATCTTAATTAATATTAATATTTTTGTATAAGTTGCTAAATAATAGAATTGACTGCTCGGAAATACTAAATAAAATATGCTGGCGTATTCCGAACAAGAACACTAGATTAAGAACATTATTTTATCTCAACCAAAGTAATACCAATCTTATGTTAAAATCACCAATCTACAACATGTGTGTAACATATAATAATCTTGCCAGTTTCAATTATGATATTGATATATTTGGTATGACCTTACCCAAATTTATTAATTGTACTCGTCAATCACTGTTTTAATCATTGTTTCAATTTCATTGTTTTATAAATCATTTTTTCAATCATTGTTTTAATTGTATTGAAACAACATTGTTTACTTTATTTATAATTTATATAGATACTTTAATTATATGTTAATTGTATTGTCTTGTAAATGGGACTACCTGTTAGACAATAAAGCTTATTATTATTATTATTATATAAAGTTATATGAAAATTATGTAAATAAATTAATGCAAATAAACAACAAGTTGGACTATATCATAGGTTCTGTTTGAATTAATTATCTAATAGATGGATGAAAATAAAATAATCTTGTATTATTTTTATTTTGCAGACTTGCATAATTTATTATTAACAAGTTTTTCAATTTATTCAACATAGAAGGTCAATATCATCATCATCATCTTGTCTTTGGCAAGGTCATCCACATGTATTCTTACTAGAAGTTTTCCTAACTGGAAAAAATATGTAAACATGTATTGTTTACAGAAAATGCATTTTACTAGTGAGAATAAGCAATTGAATGGCATAACGTCTGATATAACACTTCCAAGCTTTTGGTCCCATCAACAGGGAACTACAAATATGTATACTAAAAAAATTATGAGAAAAATAATAATGGCACTTTAGTAATAGTAAGAGGCTTGTACACATTAGATGTCTCATCAAAAGAACATAAATATTTATATTTCATTGTATTAATTTTGAATTAACTAATTAATAACAACTTGGTTGGTAAAAATGGTTTGAAATTTAATGTAAATCAAGAGACTGACTTAGGGGAGAATTTGAGAGTGACCTTTGATTAACCACTTAATTATTTAGACTCACTGAATTTAAGGGGATTGAATCAATGTTTTGCTTAAAAACTTAAAGGAATAGATAATGTTATACTTTCTTATGATTTACTAAGCTAAAACATAGTTTGTTGCCACATCCACCATGAAGTCTTCCAACTAGTAGGAATATAATGAAACTACCTATATTATGTAATATGTAAGCATTTATACGAAATGAATTTGTTTAAAATTTTACTAGTTAATTTTAAAATTAATGCTAAATTTGTTCATTTTGAAAAATCAAAGATTAGATTTCTAAATCTGTTGATGTATTGGGCAATGCTCAATAAAATAGAATCAACAAAGAGATATAATTAGATTATATTAGAAACCATCTTTTGAGTGCAATATAGGCAGTAATGTAAATTTAATATATTTATCAAATTGGTTATTTTTTTAACATTAACCTGTAAATACCGTTTTAGGAAATCTAATTATAATATTAGTTCCCAATTTTTGTATTTTAGTTTATTATTCTATTAATCAAGCAATTCTACTTATGATCCAGTGGTGGCTAATCAAAAACACATACCTACACAAGGTTTGCAGGAAAAAATTATTTGACAAAAGAATTATTGCTTTGGATATTGTCTTTTATGTATTTGAATCATTCAATGTCAAAGAGAAACTATATTTATAGGTATATAATATTTACACTATATTTTTGAATTGACATGATAAAGGGCTTCTATGGCTTCTAATAGCGTTTTCCATCAGAATGTTCAGTGCTATCTGAGTGTATTCTTACTTTATTTTCCATATCGATAAACAAGGACACATATTCAGTGCCAATGGAAAGAACTATACATGTACTTAAAAAAAATCGGTAAAGTATTTTACCCAGAACTTCCCTGGATATAGAAATTGTAAAAGCAGCAAACTCCTAAGCACTTAAATTTTAATAATTTAAAATAAAACCACCAATAAAACCCTTGTTCACATTTCTCTCTTCATCGATCTTCCTCTAAATCCCACCCGAAATTCTTACTTAGAGTGAAGTAAAAACATAATGGCATTTGTGTCCTTGTTTATCAAGGAAAGAACAAAATAATACACTCAAATCGCACTAAACATTCCAAACACTATAAATATACTTAAATTTGAAATAACAACACTACAAATCCGTTTCTATCAGCCCATATCAAAATAGGAAGACAAAATTTAAAATTATATTTTTTTAATATTAATATATCAACAGAATTGGTTTTAATATGCATTGATACATTTGAGTTTTTTAATAAACATAATTTAAAGGATACAACATATTTTGTACCATAACTGCACAATAACTAAATATATTTTTTCTATGTACTTCTCGTTTGATATGGATAGAGACAATTAGCACAAATAGGTATATGAAAAATGGAAAACCAATGCTTCTTTAATATTCTCTTTTGTATAAAATAGTGACAATTTTTAGTAAAAAAAAATATAAGTACGTACCTACGTGTTTTTGATGCCTTTCTATAAGCGGCTAGTAAAGAATTCGTTTTTAACTACTTGCTAAATGTGAATTTTGTTTTTAACTAGTCGACCTTCTTGAGACAAGAAACTTTCAAATCATTAGAATTATTTCTGTAAATTATTCTGCAAAAATAACACCATACTTACTATTAATTCCTATATATGACGGTATCTTTCTAAAATGTATTAAATACAATTGTTACTATATTAAATATGAGTTATATTTATTATATTAAATAATAAGAAAAACTAGTATTTCCTTCTTTTCAAATAATATATAATATTACTTAAATATTATTAAATTAAAATGTTTTATTTTTGTGTAAATTGAGGTTATGAGCACAATGGAAACTGCAATGTTAAAATTATCTATGAGGCGAGTTCGGTCAGTCAGGGGCTGGAGCGGGACAAATTTTAGGGTGCTTTTAAATGACATTTAAGCGTGTTAAACTGTCACTAATCGGACTAAACCGAACGCTAAAAGAGTCGTTTGGAGTTAAAAGTGTTAAAGGAGTTAAAGGAACGTGGCAAACCGAACGCAATGATGGTTAAAATTTGAGACAGTTTTCATTGCGTTCGGTCTGCCAAGTTCCTTTAACTCCTTTAACACTTTTAACTCCAAACGACCCTTTTAGCGTTCGGTTTAGTCCTATTAGTGACAGTTTAACACGCTTAAATGTCATTTAAAAGCACCCTAAAATTTGTCCCGCTCCAGCCCCTGTCTATCCGAACTCGCCTTTTGTACATAGATAAATTAATATTAATTTATGTATGGTTTTTGCTGCGTTTGAGAATCCACATCGGATGCATTTTTTACATCTCGAGCGTTTTTTTATCCACATCGGACACATCTGTCCCATTACATTTACGTATACTGAATCACGTGATCAAAGATTTACTACATCTCAGATGCATCCGATGTGGATTCTCAAACGCGGCATTTGTAACACCCATAGATATGAAGAGGGGAGATAGGAAAATGGCTGCCCGGGGCGTAAACAGTGTTGCCAACACCCCGCTTCTCATTCCCGCTGGATTGGTATATAAAAACCGCTAGAATCCGCTAAAAGCACTGAACTCCCCGCTAAAAGTGAAATTATACTTAATACAGCGACAGTGTAAAGGGATATTACCAAAGTTAATAACTCTCCTATAGAGATGACAAAAATCACGCTCGAAAGGGCAACAAATGAATGATAAAATCATTAAAATGTTCACTTGTGGCAGTGATCTACTAAAAAAGACAAGAACTCAAGAACAAGTCACAAATATATTGTCTATTGTGTGTGCACAAGATTTATTTTTCTATCAATTTTGTTTAAATTTTTTCAAAAATTAAAACCGTCAAAAAACCGCTAAGCCGCTAGGTTGGCAACACTGGGCGTAAATGCGGGGGAGGATTTGAGTCTGCGCATTAGTTAGAATATTGTGACATTTGACATTTAGTTGTCTTGTGATTGTTGTTATTTTTAGCAATTTTTGTACGATTTTTAAAGTTTTTGTGAGTTTTGGAAAGTTATTTTGATCCCTAAAGACGTCCTAAAGACTTCTATAAACAATGGTTAAAACATGTTTAATTTTATTCTGTCCAAACCGATGAAATAATTCCGAAGAACTTGTCATAAGTAAGTTTTTAACACCAATACAGACCCGTATTTAACAATTATTTTTGGATGGTAATGTTGTAGTTGACGGGTCTAGAAATGCGCATATTCACACCACTCTGCACTGACGTCTCAGTATAAAGAACAATACAGGAGTGCGTTTAGAAACCCCGCACGGCGCGTCTGGGCCCTATTCTAATGCATGTGGTCAGACGCGCCGTGCGGGGTTTCTAAACGCACTCCAGTAGCGACAGATTGCGTCGGCTTCTTTGATGTCGGGGTGGTCAGATTTTCAATGACAGTTGACGTTTTTGTCGCTTATTTCTACACGGAGAAAAGTAAACTCTAAAATTGCAAATTAGCGATGTACAATTAGAAAAAAATTAAAACATGTACATATAACATTTTAATGTATTCTAGGCAAATAAATTAATCAAAATATTGTGTAACTTAAATAAATGAGTTCCGGTGAAAATATAGATGTGCCAATTTTAAAATTTTATCATTAGAATAAAATAAATTACTTTTGTATGCCATTCATTGTATGAAATGTGTCAAACAGTTTTTGGTTTCTTCCTGGAACTAATAAATTAACTCAGCACCTTATTTTTTTATTTAAAATGAGGTTATGTAGGTATCTTTTTAGAAGTGAAACAACATATAACAATAATATTTATTAAAACACACAATTACAAATTAGTAAGTTTTTAATGAATTTACAATACAAGAATTATTTTATTTCAATTTTTGTTCCTACGTACAAATTTTTGACTTCAGATGAGTTTTAGCAAATGCCTGTTGTAAGTCACCCGTTAAGCAAAATGCTGCCCAATTGCTTATATTACCTATGTATATAATTAAATACTATTAACGTCACATCATAAAAATTAGATATTTATATTTAACGATTTTATGGTTTAAAATTTGTATGGGAATGGTTATCTGCTGCGGGATTTAAATATTTAATGGCTAGAAGAATCAACAGTGACTGTCTAGAAAAATTTGTTGGGTCCATTAGGCAACAGGGTGGGAATTTAATTAATCCAACACCTGTACAATTCGAAAGGGCATTTAAAAAACGTTTTTGTCAAAATTATCTTCATTGCAATTCCATGAATTGTAATGAAGACCTGGCAAGCACTTGCTACAATTAGATGTAAAAAATATTGTCTCTCTGTATCCTGAAATAAATAAAAACACTCAAGAAGCTGTTTTTCTTCCTAATTACAGCTACAGGACAAGATATAATAGTTCAAAATCCATTTAAATATGTTTGTGGCTATTTGATCAAAAAAGCTTTAGGCATACATGGATGTGATACATTTATTAAATTTTCAAAAGAATGTGAAGATTTGGATAGTTCACAGATTTTAACATATGATTGCAAATAAAGCACTTATGGAGGCCTAAAAACTCCAAATGAAAAGTTTATTATCTATATATTTAAATTATAAAAAAATGTTATATCTATTTTTAGCAATACCTGTGTAATGTCTGGTATATCCCATAGCTTTTTTTGATATTATGAAAGAAATAGAATTTAATCATCCTTGTCCTAATTTCCCTAACGTATATATCATACAACTGTTTATAAGATTATATATATTATTGTTTAAGTGCTTAAATATTGTATAAATGAAACAAATCAAAAATTAAAAAACAGTTAAAATAATAACACCACAAAATACATTTTTTTGTTTTCTTTTTGCTACTTTACAAGAAATACATATATATTTTGATTAGATGTAGTCAATCAGAACATTTTTAATCAATGGACATAGTGAATCAAAGAACATCTAATTCATTATAATAATTTGGAGGTAGGATTTTTGATTAAGAATGTCCAAAGGTTGCACATGGTACGCTTTCAAAAATGTCTCGTTCATGTTCAATGATAGTCTCAACAGAGGAAGCACTTGGTCGATGTACTAGGGAGAAGATAGACATTTGGCT